CCAAGGATGCTTCCCAGGTTCCAATGCACATCTTTGGAGGAGTAGTGAATGGTGTTGAGGCATAAGCCGACTGGAGGAAGCAGCTGGAGAATCCAGTGTTTATTTTGAATAGGTCAAGTTTCATATGACAGTGACATGCCCAGGTGGGGATGTCAAGCAGATAGTTGAATAGACAAGTCTAGAGATTTCTGAGGGGAAATCTGGACAGGAAGCCCTATGATGAAGGAATCATTCAAGCAAAGTGAGAAGCAAGGGAATGCAGGATAACTGGCTGATGAGAACAGCCTAAAGCCTAAGAAGCTTCCATTCAATGTCTCAAGTCATAGGAAAGAAAATCAAGGCCAATGCTGCTCTAGTAAATGTCTAACAATTAGCTCTCCAGGGGGAGGAGAGAAGAAAGCCAATTCCTGTGGTGTAAATACTCCTACCATGGTCACAGGCTTGAAAAATTCCAGCAAATTTAACAACTGATTTCTTACAAGCTGGAACAAGCTGGCTACAGCACATCCCTGAAGTCAAGGCCCTGGTTCAGGCTACTGGCTGTGTATGCTGAACAATCAGCTTATCCTTGCTGGGCCTTAGTGTCTTTATCTATGAAATGAATGGCTACCCCTAATGGTTTCTTCAGTGCTCCTTCCTGTTCTCACATAGCATAATCCCAGCAGTAACGTTTGGTTCCATCCTGATGGTCATGGACCCTTTGAACAGAGTATGTGGTATTTTCCAATGAAAGAGCTGAATGGATGAGGTATAAGTGGTATAAGTAGTGACACTCCTGTTCTGTGACTAGCAGTTCCTAGCTTTCAGATGTATATGTACACACATAAAGGAGGAAGACTGGAAAATGCTCTCTCACTCTCTGGAGTCCTGTTGGCAAGTCTAAGCTCTATTCTTCTCTCCTTAATTTGCCCTTGCCCTTTCCCCAAGAAGTCACCTACAGGCTACCCCTTGGACAAGGTCTGTGCTTGGGTGTGAAGAGGTCTGTGGAAGCCCTAAAAAGGGGACCCAGGCCATTTAGACAGAGGATTCTGATGGATCCAGAGCATAATCTATGAAAGAAAGGGATATAGGCTCTGGTTGTTACAACCACTTGGCCCCGTGGACTGGGAGGGGCTTCTCTTGCCCCTCCTGCCTAAGGAGGATGCTGTCAAAGCATATGGATTATATGAAATAAAGTAATAGGAAATAACCTACTACAAGTTTAACGCATAGTAGGTGCTTAAAAAGGTGGATTCCATTTCTTCTCATGGTTGTATTTGACTCAGAAAAGTTCTTTCTATTGGAATAAAAAATATGTATTAAGCGCATGCTTTCTATGGTGGGGGCAGCAGGCGTGTGCAATACACTATCTCCACTCTCACAGGCATGACAAACTTGTTGAACAGAGAAGACACTTCAGAAGCGTAACTGATCCAAGAGGTGCTTTATGAAATATGGTACATACCCTGGCTCTGTGGAATGCAGAGAAGTGGGAGAATTTGAGCTTGGAAGCTCAAAGAAAACCACATAGAAGAAGCTCTGGGAATAAATAGACAAGTAAGGCATTCATAGGTTATATTCAGGAACAATGAGTGGACTATGGCAGAATGTTAGAGTTGGAAAGCAATGTTAAATAAACTGGAATAAATAGTGCTGATCAGCTTCTTTTTATCTTTGATGCTAGAAAATGAAAAGCCAGGCTGACTTTCTTTTAATGCTAAAAAAAGTAAAAAAAAATATTCAGATATATTTAGGGTTTTTTTGCATGCAAATTGACCCTTTGCCAGGGAGATGATCCAAAGCTGTTAATAAACCAAGACAGGAAGAGGATTTATGAGGGAAAGGAGAAAGGAAAGAGAAAAACTATGGACAGTCTGGAAACAGTGAATCTTAGTTTACTTGTTTTGGGTAAACTGATTTTCTGGGAGCTGGCCAAAGGTTAGATGGTCCAGCTGACCTTGAGCAGGCTGACTGGGCATGAATACAATCATTTTATATCTTTGTGGATGTAGGGAAAGCCTTTGAGAGCTAAAGTGAGGCACATACATATGGCAGGCAGGACATCTCTTCAGCATTAGCATCTCTGCCTTCCTTAGGCCACAACACACCATGTTCTTCTTTGGAGGTTATTATTTATTTATTTATTTATTTTTCTTTGGAGGTAATTTAATGATAGTATAGGAAACTTTGAAAACCAAGCAGAAAATCACACTTCTAATATAATGTTTCTATGGAGGGGTATTACTTCATGGTCTATTTTATATACTTATATTGCATAATTATAATTCTAGTGAATACATAATATTCATATAAAATCTTGATTTTTATCTTCTATTACATCACTGCCCTCTGAAGATTTCTTTTTTTTTTTTTAATTTTTATTTATTTATTTATGATAGTCACAGAGAGAGAGAGAGGCAGAGACACAGGCAGAGGGAGAAGCAGGCTCCATGCACCGGGAGCCCGATGTGGGATTCGATCCCGGGTCTCCAGGATCGCGCCCTGGGCCAAAGGCAGGCGCCAAACCACTGCGCCACCCAGGGATCCCCCTCTGAAGATTTCTTTACAGAGAGTTTTTGCCTCTCATCACTTCTTCTCCTAGCTCCTCAGGGGCTTTGGGTAAGCAGTTAAACACACACCGAAAAGGAAAAAAAAAAAAAAAAGCAAAATTTAGAGAAACAAAAATTCATAAGAAGAAAAAAAAGAGGTCTTTATATAATTGAAAGTTTGCTTGTGGAGGGGGAACCTGGCTTGCTCTGAACAGTCCCAGTGCTCTCAGTTAAGAGGAGGTAGAGGGGCACCTGGGTGGTTCAGTTTGTTAGGTCTGCCTTTGGCTTGGGACACGATCTTGTGGTCCTGGGATTGAGCCCCACATCCAGCTCCCTACTCAGTAAGGAGCCTGCTTTTTCTTCCCTCGCCCCCCATTCATGCTCTCTCACTCTCTCTCAAATAAATACATAAAATCTTAAAAAAAAAAAAAAAAAAAAAAAAAGACCAGGAGGTAGAAGTCACAGGGAGATAGGTTTCACTTTGTAGAGCTCACTGAGAATAAGGCTGGCTGTTTCAGGGTGGTGAGTCCTCATCCTTGGGGGAGTTCAGGTGAAATGGGAAGGACCAGGGACACTTCTGCAGGTATCTAAGCCTGGAATGTGGGGCAGGAATGAATGGCACCTCAGAGCCTGACCTAAGCTGTTAGGCTGCTCTGGTTTTCTATAGTCATGAAAAATCATCTTAAAAATTAGTTGCTTGAGACTGCAATAATCATTTGACTATTCTCTCTCACAGCTCTCTAGGGTTGACTAGGCTCAGCTAGACAGCTCTTTGAGAGATACCTCACATCAGACAGTGGCAGGGTTGGAATCATCTCGAAGACTTCCTCACTCCTATGTCCCCTACCGGGGTTGGCAAGACTCAAACAGCTGCAGGACTGGAGTGCCTGATATTCTTGGGCATCTCTGTCTCCTTGTGTGTGGTCTGTTCAGCACTGTGATTTCAGGGGAGTGGACCTCTTGCATGACAGCTCAGAACTAGAAATGCATGTGGCAGGAGAATGAGAGAGAGAGCATATGTGCCAGACAGAAGTTGTGTTACCATTATGATTCAGCCTTCAAAGTCACATAAAATCTCTTCTGTCATCATCCGTTAATTGAGACAGTCACAAAGACCTGACCAGGTTCAAAGGAAGAGGACGTAGACTCTACTCTTGATGAGAGAAGTGGAAAATTTCTTTTTTTTTTAAAGATAATATTTATTTAAGAGAGAGTACACATGAGTGGAGGAGAAGCAGAGGGAGGAACAGAGGGTGAGGGACAAGCAGATTCCATGCTGAGTGCAGAGCCCAACGTGGGGCTCAACACTATGACCCTGAGATCATGAACTGAGCCAAAATCAAGAGAGGGACGCTTAGCCAACTGAGTCACTCAAGCACCCCAGAAGCAGAAAATATCTTGAAATTCACGTGGGACCAGAGGTATTCCTGTGTTCACTTTGGAAAATACAAACTTCCACCTGAACTTTCTAGACGAAAAGTTTTCTCACATTTCTGGATAACTCTCTCAAAGGCCAGGAGCGTCTCTAATATAAAGGTCATAACAGAGGTCTGCAGTCTTATGTGAGGAGATATTTCTTATTTTCCCCAGTTCCTGAGATCAATCCTGAACTGAAGAGATAGTGACATTCATGAGTAGTGCAGGGAACCAAACATGGGGCTAGGTGCATATCCCTCTCCACTGGGATTCCTATGGAGAGGGAACACCATCAGGACCCACTGATTAGCCTTAATCTATAGGTTGGGAAAGATGGATCGCACATTTCTCTCCATCTGCATCAGTGGGGAATCGTGTTCTACTGCTAACAGCAGAGATTCATTTGTGGTAGCTTGAACTCACAGAGATGTATTATATAAAATACAACTGAAAAACAGCTGAGTAGGGCAGGTCCACAAAGTCTTCATGGGTCAGTGTTCCCTCTATTGTTTTGCTCTTCTTGCTCTGTTTTTCCATTTCCATTCAAAAGATCACCTCATGATTTAAAGTGGCTGCTGGAGTTCCAGCTATTATATCCACATTCCTGGCAGCAGGAAGGAAGGAGAGGTGGTGTATCTCACTGTCTCTTAAGTAGGCTTCTCAAAAGTCTCAAACTATACTTCTATCTACATCTTTTTGAACAGAACTTAGTTTTATGGGCTCACCTAGTTACAAGCAAGACCCAGGAAATGTAGTTTCTCTGTAGGAGATGTCTGGAAGGTCTTGTTTCCTAAACACAAAAAGTGAAAATTAATATTTGCCTTATCTGTCAGATTTCAACTGAAGAGGTTAGAAGAGATACCCACCCAGTTAAATGAATCTTAGAGACCTTTCTAGTGACATGTAATTGTGCTAACATTTCTACTTTTTGAGTGCCTTCAAGAAATGAGAGATTTAATTCAATATTTCAAAATCTGAGATGGGGACTAGATTCGGTGGAATCCATTTCCACTCTGAACAGTGGATGACAGTATATGAATCATTTTTTCAATACAGCCCCTCCCTCCTGCCATTTCCCCAATTTGCCCTTTCGGTCTAAATGACTGAAGTCACAGCTAAAGCAAGATATAAGAGGACAATCTGAAACCTAAAGGATGGCACTAACTCTCTGAAGCATTCAATGAGCTGATCCCTGAGACTCTCTTCGAGGTGCTGGCAATTTCGGTAAGTGTTGCTATTAAGACATTTACTCAGGGTTATATACACATGAGTGTACATGCCCATCTGCCTGGAAAATGTTAGGAAATATTTTCCTAGCTTTCTCCACCTGCAAATATCTTACACTTAAAGGCCCAGCTGAAGTCCCATTTCATTCCTGAAGCTTCTCCCAGCATATACACTTTCATGTCTCCCCTCTCTGTACTCAGGTACTGGTTCTACTGTTTGCATTTAAGAATTAATACCCAATATTTAACAAACATTAAGAGAGTTCTAACATGAGTCCCAAACACTTTGGGACTTTGATGTGGCCTGTTAGTGTTATATGTGGGATTCTTATCTCCCCAGGTTGAGTGTGAGCTCATTGAAGGCCTCACACTTGTTTTGCAGCATTCCATTTTAGGCATTAAATAGTTCCCGGTTAATAGAGTCCTGTAGATGGCTCTGGCACTAGGCATCAGAAACCAAAGGCATATATACTAACCATGTATTGAATGTTTCCTCTAAGGAAAAAGAGTCTTACTCTAATTTTTTTTTTTTTTTTTTTTTTTAGTTAAACTCTGTGCCCAATTGGGTTCCAACTCATAACCCTGGGATCAAGATGCACCATGTTCTACCAGCTGAGCCAGCCAGGTGCTTCCTTACTGCAAATCCTTGAATCTCAAAAGCAAACTATAACACACATTCCAGAAGAGCTAGAATGGAAAAGACAGACAACACCACATGTGGAATTACTGGAATGCTCAAATATTGTTGGTGGAAGTGCAAATTAGTACAGCCACTCCAGGAAGACTATTTGATTGTACCGACTGAAGTTGGAGATAGGCATATTTTATGACCCAGCAAATCCACCTATCTACATGCAAATTCAATAGAGATAGCAACACAGCAAACATGCTGTGCTGTTCAGAGTGCCATTTGTAATAGCCCCAAACTAGAAACGACCCATATGGCTTTCAAAAGTATAATGGATAAAGACATTGAATAAGATGTAAATTCACATAATGGAATATTACGTGATGACAGATATGGACAAACTATCACTACAGGCAACACCAGGGATACATCTTATAAACATAATGTGGAGTTAGAGCAGCCAACTATAAAGAAGGCCTCACTGTTTTGTTTCATTTATATAAATTTCAAAAACAGGCAAATAGATCTATCGTATTAAAAATCAAGATAACCTGGAGTAGGAAGGTGTCGCCCATGGAAAGGGGCTTAGCGAGGATTTTGAGGGTGTTGGGGATGTTGTACTTCCTAATCTGGGTGCTCGTGATGTCAGTACAATGAAACACAAACTGAGCTGTCCACCCATGATTTGTGCATTTTTATCTATGTTCTGTCTCAGTAAAAGCATACTAGAAAACAAACCCAGAAATGACAAGCTGTGGTATACCAGAGAACCTCCTAACTTGCTTGTAGCTCTAACATCCCATGATTCTTTTCCATTGGAAAAAGACTAGAGGATAAGTTCTTTGATTCTAGGTCACAGAAGGAAATTCTAATCGGCAAGGAGGAGCCCTGCGGCCAGTCATCCTCTGTACCTGAGCCCGCTGTTCGGTGTCCCAGGTTCTGGGAGTGGTCCATGCATAGCAGTGCAGAGCATCCTTGGCAGAAGAGGAAGACTGGCTCCAGTGGCACTTTCTAGATGTCTTGCTCCGCTTCTCTGCCATCAGCCTCCGTCTCCTTTATTTTGTCAGGGCTTTCCTCCCTGGCACCCCCGGTTTTTGGGTCTGACAGTTGGCTGGGAGAAATGCCCCCTTTTCTCTCCCTTTATTGGCATCCATCTTAGTTCTTCTTGTAATGGCTGCTCTTGTGAGCTCACACATCCCTTGTGTGGTGTGTTCCTCACCCACCGTACAGCTAAAATTATCCTATTGGCTTTTCCTGGTGGCACACAGCATTTCAAAGTTAAAAACATCAAACGCTCTCCCTGTCTGCTTACCTCTCAATGGCATTCTTGTCCATTTTGATGTGCTCCACTAGAGTGACAGCTCAGAAAAAACCATCAAGGGGAAAGAAAATCAAGAATACAAGTACTAAAGATGGGCAGAAGGACCAAAGGTAGAGACAGACAATGAACGGCACCTCCCAGCCCATCACTTAGTTATTAGGCACTCTCTGCTCACACCTGAGGACAGGTTACAAGAACAGCAAGCAACGTCAGGTGTGCCTTCACAAGCTCCTGACCTAAAGGGCATGCAGGATGTAGGCAAATCAACAATGAGAAGTCGCAAATGAAAAATAATGTAATGATGAAATGGAAATGACGTGGGAACACAAAAAGGGCACGGGGCTCCCCAAGACAGTGCCATTTACATAAACAAAGCCTCATGGAAGACAGGTTAAAATTGGAAACACTTATCATGCAGTCGGAGTCTGAGGCTGGTTGGAGAGATTAATGGAGTGTGTGGCAGGCTGGCTCCATAATCATGAAATATAGACAGCCCAGAGCCTGGCCCTGTGAGCGGCACTTGGGGGCTTTTCCTGTGGAAGATTATTTCCTAGGGAGGGAGGTGACCATGTGAAGCTGAGGACATTTTTGAGCAAGGAGAAGTCAAATCTAGTCCATAGTGGAAGAGTTGTCAGGATGAAAATCATGAAAGTTCTACTACTTATTGTACTTGAAGCATTCGAGGACTTGGCCTTTCTTCCTCCCTCCCCAGTGCACGGTCCCGGCCCAAGTTCTACTTCTTTGAGTCTGATTCATTCACTGGGACTCTGGGGGTGGACAGTGGTGGAAATAAAGAATATTGGTTTATCTATTTATCTGTCCCCACCCCTAACATAAAATACCAATCATAAGACAACCTAATCCAACCATTAAAGGATGAGCCAGATGTGAGAGGACCTGTCTCATCAATTTTTAATTTGTGTTATTTTCTGGACTGCAAACCAATTGGGTATAATAGAGAAAAATAGCCCAAGTTATATGGGAACTGCTTGAAATATAATACTCATGATGCTCAAGACTGGATCTTACTATCACCATCACTATGCATGTTTTAGGGAAATAAAGAAACTGAAGAAGAGGGATGTCCATTTTATTCATTCATTCATTCATCCATTCATTCATTCAGCAAGTAATTTTGAGCTCCTACTGCATGCCTAGACACAGGAAGTCCACTCAATTGCAAGTCAGTGCTGAACAGCAGACACAATCAAGAGCTGGTGCCCTAGTCTGCACAGGCTGCCCTCACAAAATACCACAAACTAGTGGCTTAAACAGCAGAATTTTTACTTTCTCATAGTTCTGGAGACTGAAAGTCCTCAGAGAGGTAGTTTCTCCCAAGGTCTCTCTCCACAGCTTGCAAATGACCACCATGTCCTCATGTGACCTTTGCTCTGTGAATGTATTTTTGACGTCTCTGGTGTCCTAATCTCTTCTTAAAAAGACTCCAGACAGATTAAGGCCCACTCTAGGTGGGTCTCATTTTAACTTAATTACCTCTTTGAAAGCGCTTGGAAATACTGGGGGTTAGGGCTTTAACACAAGAATGGAGGTAAGATGGGCATGGACACTACTCAGCCTGTTACAGCTGGGAAGACAATTTGATCCTTTGGCCAAGGTCATGGGACCTTAACTTCATCCCTCTAAACTGGAGCTGGAAGGTTTCTTTTCCCTAGCAACATCAGGATTCACAAAAAGTCTAAATCCTGAATGCCCATGGAGTGTGGTAGAGGAAGTACACTGGGGCAAATTCCCACATGGGGATCCAACAGTCCACCACCTGTAGAACAATGATGGCTTGTGTGGACCAAGGAAGCAACTGTGTCCAATTGCCCAGACTGTTTGCTAAAAACACTGAAAAGGAAACATCTGCTTATACTGTATTTTTTTCTTTTTTCCCCCCTCTGAATGCTTTAAAAGTGAATAAAGTGGATTTCAGTAACCCTGCCACACAAAGCTGGATTCATGCTTTCAGTAATCCCCTTGGTGCTTGTCACATTCATTCTTGCTCTGAGGCACTTCAAACACTGTTGATTTCTTCTTCCATGAATCTGAATGAAGGTAAGGCTGTGGAGCCAAGTTGTTCCTGCTTTTCAGGGTGGGATTTCACAGTCAATCTGCCAACTCATTAAGAGCACCCACCCCTTTCGGTTTTCCGGATTTATTCTGATTGTAATTTCTCTTCGTCTCCTTAATCTTGAAATAAAGAGCTTTTGGGCCTAGCAGTGTATTATATCCACCAAAATATTCATTTACTTCAATCTTTCAAGATGATTTGGAAGAAGATTTAAAAATGTTGAAAAAGAATGTGAACATGGCTGAGCACTCACGATGCATTGCCTGCACAACGTACTGAAAATGCGTTCTCCACTTTAGATTTCTTGATCCCTTTAGAAGGCAGGGAAATAAACAGTTCAGATGCAGCCAGTCATAAGAAGATAAAGATCATTGTATGGTTCTATATGCCCATTTTTCTCTCTCCTTTTTAAACCCTTTGTAAATAGGCAAGATTTGGAAACCCAGGTACTATATGGCATCGTAATTGCTTGTCTGGAAAGGCTGCAGATAATTTGGTGAATCACCTTCCTGCTTTAAGTTAAAAAGGCTGCCTTTGATGGGGAACAAAGAGCAACCATCTGCTTATTCAGGAGAAGCCCCCTTATGGTGCAGAAGAAGCAGCCGGGAGGATGCACCTTCTGTGCCAAGTGCTAATATAGATTCCTTCTATAACTTAAGAGATCATTTTACATCCCATTGTCTCAGGTTCCTTCCCATGAAAATGGCAGTCCTTCACCAGGTTCCTGGCTCACAAGAGTCTTATGCAGAACAATTAAGGGTTAATTAATTAATTGGAGAACAACCAAGCATGAGAGATACTGAGAATGTCTACTGCATTTCCTTGGCTTTGGGTAAGGCCACCCTTAAATCAATTTTAATCAGAAGCTTCGGCCTCAATTTTTCATTAGTAGTCATACTTCCAGGTTTAAAATGAACATGAATCCCTTGAATACACTTTTTTCCCAAATCATATATATTCCCCCCTGCAAGAGTGACCTTTACTAACTACTTCAGTGAGTTAATCAATAAATTATCTTGCAATAAATTTCATAGTTTTGTTGTGAGTCATTGAAAATAACAAGGGTTTTTTCTTTGTTATTTAACATGGGTTTTTTTTTGTTGTTGTTGTTACATGTTTAAGGTAAATGGGAGAAATCCCATACAATATGAGGTTGCTTATTTCCATCTTTTATCCTCAGAGATAATCCTGGCCCAAACCCAAGACAGAATAGTGGCAGACTTTGGATGCAAAGTCAATGACTTAAAAAAAAGAAAAATCTCTGATCACCTGCTGATCATCCAAATGCTAGTTTTCTAGGGTGAACATGACCTGTTTTCCTCCCCATCTCCCTCCTGGTGCTCATTCTGTGATGGAAGTTGGGCTGGCGTGCACATATGTAGACCAAGACAGCTGCATGAATGGATTTGTTCCCTGCTGCTGGGGGAGCTGATGCTAGTTCTAAGCTCAGCCCTAAAGGGCTGTAGTTCAAGTGCCTTTAATGTTCCAGATCAGTGATGCCCAGGGGGTAGCTGAACTTTCATTTCCTTACCATCGTATTCTATTCTAAACAGAATGGGACCACTCACTCGTGTCCTGGAGAAAGCAAGATGGAGCTCCGCATTTTACCAAACAACCTGCTTTCCCCCCCTCTCACGGCCACAGCAAATCATACCAGTTTCTTCTTGAATGTAGAAAACCTCTAACTTGGGCTTAGAGGTACAGCCTGCACTGTTTCCAGTTTCCCAAAGAAATATGCTGCTACAGTCCTCGAAAGAACATATTCTTCTTCTACTCCATGCAAACTGGCAACTTTGTATTCAATTCATTGAACCAATGAATATTGATGATCAATGTGTGACAGAACTAGGAGCAAACTATTAGGAATAAAAAGAAGGTATCAGACACAGTCTGATGTGAGGTCAAAGTCGATGTGGGGGACCAGATCAGCATAGCAAGGCAAGAAGGTTAAGCCTAAATTTATTGGTTTGACCTCCTCTTAAAAAATCTGGTCAGAGACCAAGTGGAAAGATAGAAAAAAGTCCAAGAGAAGATGAAAGTTTTTCTTTGGGGTTTAAGTATTCAAAGTCTGAATCTGGGAATACCCTGAACTCATATTCTTGGCGTAGAAATTCTTACACTTTCATGAATTCAGAAGAATTTTTTTATAAGCTCTTACAGATAAATGTCAACTTTCTTTTTACTACTAATAAAGTGAGTAGAGAGGCCTCAGAGATAATCCAACCCCCTCATTTTAAATATTGGAAAAATTGAGCTCCCTAGCTAAATGATTTGCCTAAAATCATGTTTAAAAAAAAAAATGGTGGACCAGGTCTAGAACTCAATTTCCCTGCCCAATCTCATGTTACTTCAGAATAAAAAATTACTATGTACTTGCTGTCATTTCCCAGCATATTTTTTTCTTAATACCTTCAAGTTTGTGGAGAAATCTTTAAGCTACATTAACAGATTTAATTAAAATATAACTTGATAGGGGATCCCTGGGTGGCTCAATGGTTTAGCACCTGCCTTTGGCCCAGGGTGTGATCCTGGAGTCCCGGGATCCAGTCCCACCTGGGTTCCCTGCATGGAGCCTGCTTCTCCCTCTGCCTATGTCTCTGCCTCTCTCTCTGTGTGTGTCTCTCATGAATAAATAAATAAAATCTTAAAATATATATATATATAACTTGATGGATTACAAATGGTCACAAATTTCTTTCACTCTGTCACCTCTTGAATGTATTCTTTACTTTGTGATTGGCTTTAACTAATGGTGCATAAACAAGAGTGAGTTGAGCTGAGGACAAGGAGCTCATGCTTTGGGGCTTGCCCTCTGGCTGCTCTTGGAACTCAGCCTCCATGTAAAGGAGTGAACATAGCCTGCTGGATGATGAGAGACAGATGGACCAGTCAGGCCAGTCGCTCCACCAGCCAACAGCCCAGGCAGTCCTTAGCCAGATCACCTACTGGCTACAGATGCATGAATAAGCCCGGTTGAGCTCAGCCAAACCTAGCATGGAAAAATACCCAATCAACTTCTGAGCTAAATAAATGCTGTTAAGTCCCATAAAAGTTGGGGTGGTTCATTGCAAAGCAAAAATGAGCTAATGCAATGAATATAAGAATGAATAATAACCATCAGCGAAGTGAGCTCGAGAGGGGAGAGCACAGTGTTGCTAGTCTGAGTAAATGGTTAGAGTTCCTTCTGAAACCTACACTTTATATATAGAAGAGTAGAACCTGAATGCTGAATTTGCTATTTTATGAAGGAAAAGGCAGAAGTTGTCCTTTCTTCCTAGGAGGAACTCCCTCATGGGATGGATACAAGTTCTTATTGTACTTGTTTCCTAATTTAATTTCAAGCCTTGGCCAATAACTGGCCACTAACTAACATGAAATTACAAATAAAATTTTCTATTAAGAGCACACACAGACACATACACACACACACACACGTGCACGCACACAGCACGTACACACAAGATGCTGGCAGAGGCAGAATTGTACCTCCTCTTACAAGATCATTTATCCGGGAGATTGCATGTTGTGATTTCTTCCAGCCAGAGCTCTGTTTACTGTGGATTTTTGCCAAGATAACCCTTGGCATTCTTCAAAGATTTCTCTTTTAAGAAGAACATCTCTATAATGCAATATGCTTTCCAGGGGTTGAAATATAACTCTGATAGAATATAAAGATAACTTCTTGTAATAAATAAATGCAACACTATTTCCTCCATTCTTTGAGGACAAAACTTAAAAGAAAAACAGTTTTTTAGGTCTATTCAGAAAGAGATAGGCTCCTGACAATATTTGGTAACTTCTCCTTCCCACTGCACAATCATAGAAGTTATAGGGAAAATATATCTAAAGACAAACACATAATCAGTTTGGAAATCAAGAAGGGGTGTTTTCAAAAAAAAAAAAAAAGAAGGGGTGTTTTCAGTAGATCAGAAGGAAATAAAATTATCCTATAAAGAGTAAAAACCCATGTAGGAGAGGACTACTTTAAAATGTGGGGTACTTCTAAGCCTAAAGGTAGCAAAAATGAGGGTGGACAAGGACCTGGGTGGGGTGGCTTCTGGATCACTGGTTGGGAAAATGCCAACAGACAAGCCAGATTGTTAACTCCTCTTCCCCGTCTGCCTCCCCAGCAGCTAGATGGTGCTCAATTGGAGTCTTAATCCAGGTAAAGTCAATCTAGCAGTTAGATGGGAGAGACAGAACACAGTCCTTAGAAGGAAGTGATCAAAAGGACTATTGGAAATCATTCATGTCCAGAAGATGTCGTGCCTTGCCTACCAGCACACACTGTGCCCACCATCTACTCCCAAACCTGGACGGTGATAGTGGTATACTCCACCTAGAAGCAGAGCCTTTTCATCCAGCATAATCAATCATGGGGGCCATGACAAACAGACAAAATATTCACAGAGTCAGGTCAGGAGGAAATCAGGACAAGAATCTGTTTTGAGTGGATCAGCAACATGGAAAGGCTCACCAAACTCCACAAACTAAGAACCACAATTAATAAAGCAAGCAGAAGAAACTTTAGATGGTTATAATGGTTATAACCCCAATTGTACGCAAATCTAAGAGGGTACTGTAGTCATAAAAAACAATCAATTAGAGATCTAGGAAATTTTAAAAATGCATTTTTAAAGTTAAAAACTGAGTAATGGGACGAACAGCAAAATAGACATTGATATACCATTAATTGGTGGCCAGAACTGGAAGGCCTAGGTCTACACTATTGACAAGTGATGTATCTATACCATAACCATGTCAAAGGTTGAAAATAAATACATATAAAAACTCTACTATGTAAAACCTACCAAAAGAGGACTGAAGAGCAGTATTTCTAGGCAAATTAGAATCAGAAAGCATCAAAGGGACAAAAGGGATTTCATATTGATAAAAGGAACAACGAACCACTACAACAGTAAATTCTAGATCCTTTATTACCCTGCTTTAGGCTATTTAAACAAAAATGAATAGAAGAAGAAAAGCTTTAACAACTTCATCCCAAGTGATACTAGTGATTATATCTGGGGGGGGAGGGTGAGATTTGGTTAGACAATAAAGGAGACTTTTCGAAGTCTGCATTACACGAAATTATATTTACAAATTAGATATATCCATATATTAATTTTGCATTTAACAA